TGATGATCTTATTAACCCACCCGTTTACAGTCGCACATTGCAAGTCGCCACATGGCGCCTTTTTGCCACCAATCTATCCGCAACAGCGTGAAAAAACCTGACAATTCCCAATGTCATTCAGCTCCTCTGAAGTAAGAAGTCAATTGTTTTTCCGCTCTTTTTATGTATAATAATATTCATATTCCCCTGAACGATGACCTGCGGGGGGGAAAAAATGGGGCCATTTCAGAGCTGTCAGTACAACGTCTTTATCTCCGCTCTCCAAATGTTGGGGTCAGCCGAGACTTGACGCGCGGCAGACAATCCTCCCAAAGACCCTAATGTGATTAATGGGTGTCACTTAAGAGGGGGCGGGGTTGAGGGAGAATGGAAGAAGTCATCCAAAGGAGATTGTTGCCGAGGAAAAGGTACATTGGCGGCACTTCATCAGCGGGAGAAAGCAAGGATTGAGCCTCGCCGGCTGTGTGTGCGCCGTAAAAAAAACGAAATGTTCAATGTCACTTTCAAAGTTTTTAAACACGGCAATGCGGAACGCAACCTTGAAACGCTGATAACGGGGAACGAGTTTTCAACCAGCAATTACAGCGCTCTGTGTTGGTAATGTCCGCCAGGTACATTAAGGAATAGTTTGCTCAAATACCTGACACCACTCACAAAAAAAAAATGATTTCTCTGGTGTAATTCCAATTTTGCAATATTGCCTCCATTTGCACTTTGCCACTGGTGGGAAGTGCCACGTGCATATTTCAAAAAAATGAAAAGCCGCAGAGTTTGCCGTCACAGATGTCCTTGCTTGTCGTCCTCTTCTATTCCGCCGGCATTAGCAGCCGCTGGAAAGCGAACAGTTTGGATAGAAGGAGGAAGACGGCCAAAAGCCCACTTCACACCTGCTGTGAAACATTTGTTTATCTCGTTACTAGATGTTCTCAGATTGGTTCACAGCTGGACCCGGATTCCTCACTCCTTTGCAAGAAAAAAACACATGTCACTTCCTCTCTCCCCTCGTGTTGACATCACTTGGAACCTATTTTGATTTTTCTCGTTGCAACGACATCCTTTAAAACATGTTTGAAGTATGCTGCTGATTAAACATTCCTGCCACCTGTTTGATGCATCTGTGTGCAGACGCTTATTGTTGCTCATGTAGTTCGTAGATGTGGATCGTGGAGATAAAGATGTTGTTGTCATTATGAAATATACCAGATTCTTGCACCTGAATTATGTTTTTTTATCTTAGGTTGTTAATGTGTGGAGACTTAACTGGAGACTGACTGTGACCCTTGTGGTTTCATATGTTCCATGTTATTTATGTTACATGCGAGCATCATGACATGATTGTTAACCGTGATGTGGATACTTTGTGTGCAGGTGCGCCCTCAACTCAAGATGCGTGGTAGATTGTAAGTTAAATAAAAGATATTATAATACAAGATGACATCTACATCCTGAAACTAGAAGGAAAGTGATCTATTCCCTCAGCCAGAATCTATAGCGGTCAGTAGTCTCACTGCTGTTTTCAGTGTGTTTAAAACTTTAGTACTTTGTAAAAGGCCCTGAAAAGCTGTGGACAGAGAGACTGAGTTTCTCTGGAAAAAAATGAAAAGAACTTCTAAATTTACTAACTCAAAAAAGTATTTTTTGCTTGTTTTGAAGGGCTTAATTTCTGACATTGAAGACGGTCTAAATCCTGCCCCGACCTTCCACTCACTCTCTCGTGGATATTACAGAAAACACAGAGGGACACTGGACAAAATAAGACAGGAAACCAGCTCGTAATATTTTCTTAATACTGAGCTATTCATCTGTAGAACACATCTATCATGCAAATATCCATCTCAATTGTTTTACTAATCTTAATCGTGGCCTAAAGTTGTAGAACGTAGGAAGACGATGAATACATTGTTGAATAATTTAGGGTTTTTGCAGGGTTGACTCATATTCCAATGCCTTTTTAAATGCCACATAGACATAACAAGAGACAGTAAAATATAATGGGATGAAACAATTATAAATATGTCTATTATAGCCCGATTGACGCTGGGTTGTGGAGAGGCAGGACAGCTTTCTGTTCAGTCTGCTCAAAAAGAAGTGTGAATCTTAACTTGTGCTCTCTCTCAACCGTGAGTAAAGAAAATACGGTTATTTACAGCATGTTGATGAGAGAGAAATGGGTGCATTACCATGGAGACAGTCCTATATTAAATATTCTAATCATGAAAACAGCAGGAAACTATTAAAATCTGCAAATGAAGAGCACTGCGAGAGGCATATAGACCCACGATTTCCTTCTTTACATTTTCGTCAAATGTAAAGAAGGAAAAGAGAGGGAGAGCCCGAGCAGCGTGCTGATTGGCCTCCTTATCTTAGATTGCAGGTGTCTGATTTGACGATGTGAAAGAAGAGGAGTTGTTGCCATGTGTTTACTGTAATCTCAATTTAAATCTAACTCTTTAATCCATCGATGCCCAGTGTCACATTCCACAACTTCTAGTCGAATGCAGACGTTTTCTCAAATCTACATTTCATTTTAAGGTTATAATAACACACAGGCGGTGTTGGTTCATGACCAGTTCATGGAATTGTACGTATATTTAATGGCACAATTATTTTCATATATCTGGTGATTCCTCATCATGCCAGTCCGGAGGATTCATATGCATGAGTCTGAAATCTGACACCATTAGTACGTTTGTCGATTAGTCGGTCGACATAAAATTGATCTGCAAATATTTTGATCGCCGTTAAAATAGATGGAGTCACATTTTGCGCAGAAATGCCAAACATTTAGCGTTGACGAAATATGGGACAAAACAAACTACTTGAAGGCATCTTAGACTCTGAGACTTTTTACTATTTCCTGACAAAAATAGCGTTCATAAAAACATTTAATCCTTCAATCAAAAATAATAAAAACACAAGTAGCAAGTTTCTCGCAGAGCCTAAACTCCACAGCCATGACATGAATCTGATTAGCGTGTGTAACCTTGTAAATCCATTTGGACTGCCATTGACCATTGTCATACAGCAAGTTAAACACACACGTGGCCCCAATTTGTTCTGGGAAGCGCTGTTTAAATGAATCGTGTTGACAATTCGGTCTCGTATCTCCCGAACTTGAAATATGAAATGCACTTTGCTGTTTCTGCCGCAAACTTTTGCAGAATTTGCCGTGCGTTGCGTTTCCACAAACTTTCCTTCAAAGCAATGAGCGCATGCGTTGCGTTTGAAGCACGCGGAGATGGATTAGTGTTGATACTAGAGCTGATCACGGTTCGAGTCCAAGCCCTTAGTGCCACTTAGCATCCATCCAACAACTACTGACCTTGCTGTGTGTGTGTGTCTCTAACCTGTACCTCTGCCCCACCCAGCCTGTTTGCTGTTATCTTTGTAGCCCCCCCCCCCCCCCCGCTAGCACACCTTCATTACTGCCCCAGATAGTGGCATTGGCAACTTGTCACTCGTATTGATTTCTCTTGAACTGCAATTTACATGGATATTTGTGGGCGTCCTAAGGGCAGACTGCAGCCTGGCGGACGGCCCCGCCACCTTTTTCTCTCTCTCTCTCCCCCTCCCTCTCCCTCTCTCTCTCTCTCCCTCTCTCTCTACTTTCTCTCCCCCTCGGGCCGGGAGGAAATGTTTCCACCCAACGACAGAGCCTCAAAGTGACTTTTCACTCTGACATCAGCAGATGTGGGTCATTGAGGTTTTTTTTTCTTTTCTGCAGATGCATTGTTTTTCTTTTTTGGACGTCAACCTAAAAAAAATGGGTGAGTGCTGGTGAGGGTAAAGGAGAACGACAGCATTTACAGGCGATAGACCAATTTTAGTTTTTTTGATATGTCTTTTATTCAATAAGCGCACATGCAGGAAGCACAGAGTTCAATTGACTGAAACATCGAAGCTGCTTCAGAAAGCAAAGTCAAATAGTGCGTTTGATAAGGCCCGAACAAATCCGCTTTTTTTTTTTGTTGTTCACTGTTTAGGCCCTGAACGTGTCCGGCCAGGAGAACAAAACAACAACCTCCAGTCTGGAAAGCCACAAATGCTTTCTGAAAGCCTCGACTCTGCACTTTCACACAAAAAAAATACAAAAACGCCACAAGCCTCAAACTTTGTGGCTGCAACACACTGTCAGGAGAGTTTCTGCCTCCTGTGCTGAAGGTCACCTGAACATCCCCCCCCCCCCCCCCCCCCACCACCACCACACACACACACACACACACACACACACTCAGGATTTTCAAAATAAAAGACTCATTTGGTCATATACTTATATGCTGCATAGTGTCCTACCAAAGCTTGTAAATTGAACAGAAGTTGACTCAAACTGTAGATCAAAGATGCATTTGATGAGTTTGTGCTAATTGAGCATTATGCATCTTAGAGTAATCTCCCTTTGTGGACTTGTCGGTGACTTTAGAACAGAGAGAGAGGGAATTTATTTTAGATCCGTAATCCTGCAATGAAATTAGAAAAATCCCAAATCTCAGTGAACAAACAAGGAGAGGAAGGAGGAAGACTCATCCGTTCTTCACTCCATATCTTGTTTTTTCAAATTTGTGGTGAGTCTGCAGCAGGTTGGCATGTATGGTATGTATGGAAACCAGCAGGAATAACCATGTTTAAATCCCTCATTCTGCAAAACCTCGGACCTGCTGAAGTGCCCTTGAGCTGCAGCATCCCCATCAGGTTGACCTCTGACCCCCCCTCCCCTGCGAAGGGCGGGAAGAGAACAGACGTCCCCTGCAGTGTGGAGAAGAAAAAAAAGTAGGAGGACTTAAGTGAAAATGTAAAAAAAAAACATTTAAAAAAAGCAGCGGGTGAAGAAGGGGTGCGAGTTGGTGGGTGTCTCCGGTGATGTCACACCTCCCAGACAGCCACGATTGGACCCTAATTAGAAAGCTCAGCAGCAAATAGATGGGCGTCCCGCGTGATTGAATCCAAAGTGGCTGATGCCAAAATTCGTGTAGAGGCGGCGGGAGTAGACCGGGGCGCCGGTATCAGTGACTGCTGAGAGCTGCGAACAGTCTCTCCGCGAGCGGGAGGCGAGCAGGAGTTCTTTTTTTTTCCAGAGGTGATACAAGGAACAGCGACACGCGCTCTCATCTGGTTTTGAGGGATAACGACAACAAAAAAGAGAGAGAGAGAGAGAGAAACATAAGGAGGGACGAAAATATAGTCCGAGTCTCTACGTCAAAACCACAGGGACGCTGCGTTATCGGAGAGCAACGGGAGGCTGACGCGAGACAAGTAGGCTACAAAGGAGAGAGTCGAGCCGCGCCGAGTCCCAAGTTACCGCTGCGCTCCGCTCCGGAGGCTGCGCCGATGGCATCCGTACTTGGGAACAGCAGCAGCCGCGCGTCGGGGGCTCAGAGCGGACAGGTGAAATGCAAGCTGAAGAGGAGGCGGAGGAGGCGATCCAAGAGAAAAGGTACAACTTCACAGCACTTGTTCGCTTTTTACTGTGTCGGGGTTTTTCTTCTTTTTCTTTTCGATCCCGGTGTGAGAGCAGAGGTCGTGCGCACCTTGGCGGGGTATCGGAGCGCGCGGCAGCCCGCTTCTACTTCAGCCTCCGCGTGCAGCACGCTCCGCGGCGGCTCGAGTTCGAGCCCTCTGGAGAAATGCTGGAAACCACGAACGTGGACTAACGATTTTCTGATTGCCGTCGGCTTTAAATGACGCATTGTTTTATTTCCACCCTTTCAAAGTTTAGTTCCTGCTGTGTTTATTGTCTTTTAAAAAAACAAAGAAGCTTTTATTGTCTCGAACATCAACGAGCACAACGACGAAATTAAACGACGCATCAGCTTAAATACAAGTTTGAACGCGTGCTAGTGATGGAGAGCTGCTTGTTTTTTTTCTGATTTTAAATCCGGATGCATCGTTGTCCCCGAACCCGTTTAACTCTCATTTCTTTCACGATTTTCAAGATTACTAAGCCATTTTCTATTCGTGACTTAAAATATTCAAAATATTAAATAAAGGATTAGCCCTGCCCCACATGCACTGTAATAAAACGGCATGATTTAAAAAAAAAAAAAAAGAAAGCACTTCTCATACTGTCCCTTTTATACTAACATCCTCAAACTCAGTGGTGATACTCCTGATAATATCTCAGCTGCTTTCTTTTACTGTCGTCTCACATAAATCCTCATTAGAGGCTTAAACACTTAGAGCCCTGCTGTGCTTCATCCAACAACACTGAACACTTAAAGAAAAGTCTGAGAAACAGTTCCGGGGCCTTCAGCAGGGAGAAAGCTCTCTCGTTAGTTGTGCAGTTCTTCAGAATAATATTTAATTTCATGTTTAATTTTACGTGTGTTTTATTTCTGAATCAGAATCTCCCCAAACTGCTGCAGAAGCGTTCCTAATGAAGGAGTGTGTGTCGAGTCCGTGTGCTTAAAAACTCGCAGACGAGCCGCACTGCAGAACAATTAATTGTATCTGCAATCAAAATGGAAAAGCGTGACTAAAACATAACCAGGGTGCAACATTTGCTCTGCAGCCGCACCGGGACAGATGCCGATCCCCTGTGTGTGTTTTTTTCTTAACCTGCATGAAGGTGTTCCGTTTCTCTGCCTATGACACCACTCATGCTGCCAGGAAACCCAAAAACCAACTAATAATTTACAGCACTTTAGCCGTCTCGCTTTCAGATTTCTCTGTTTTACTGCTGTTCACTGCTGAACCGCGTACCTGTGATTGCAGAGTCATTTTACGCCAACGTATTCGATATTGTGCCCCACAGTGAGAAAATGACATTTACAAAATGATTAGCAAGGACGTTATTTGGATATGTCAGTTAAAGCGTCCATACTTAAAATCTGAACCGCCTTTAAAGAGGCTCTTCTTCTCTCTGCTTTAGTTTTCTTCATTATCTGTTTTTTTGGCTACTTTACAGCAAGTCACCAAAAAAGCTGCTTTGCTCTGGCACAGGCCACAAACACTCACAGAAATATCTTTCTTTTTCTCCCGCTCACCCCCCCCCCCCCCCCCCTCTTCCACAAAGAAAGCAGAGAGGAACTAAATAAAGAAAGCAATGATACATTTATTTTTCATCAATTCATATCCATAAAGAGACGAGAGCACCGCTGCACGAGTCGTCCATGCTCGATTGTACTGATGCGCCACATTGTGGAATATGGATGAGCGCTCGGAGCGCGTCGACGCTTGCCGACCTGCCCATTGAACGCACAACGAGCCCCCATAAACACTTTGCACTTGTCATCAAACTGCAAACAGACAACCGCACCTCATTTCCATAGCCTCTTGATTTTTAATAGCCCAAGTAATTGAGACAAGGGAGACAATACATAAAATATGGCGCCGAGGCAAATGTATTTACATAATGGTAACGGCAGAATTGGTTCCACAACATTAGGCATTGCATATGAGTAGCACGCGAACGTGCGCGCATTAGCCGGCAGGCCTTTTCGCAGCGTGTTCCCCCGAACGGCTAATTTATCAGCGCCGCTGATTCGTTCTGATAACACGGGACATTGGGGGGGGGTTCAGGGGCCGCCCGTAAATGAACTGTGTCTTTGGGAAGTGCTGAGGGGCCGCTGACTCCTCCGAAAGCTGCAGGAGGTGGACTCACTGTGCTGAAACGTTCAGACACATCTCCTCTTTCCTGTTTGAATGTGTGTGTGTTTGTGTGTGTTTATGGAGGAGAAATACAGATTTCACAAATGTTTCATGATTGAAAGATTTTCTTCAAACTTGACTACAAATCAAGCAAAGCTGAGCATTTTTTTAAAATTTATTTTTTTTATTCATCATCATCCTTCAAGTGCCAACTGATCATCCTCATCTCGAGATTCCACACAATTCATCGACCTCAAGGCAAAATAGAAAGGCACAGAGGGATTATTGCGTGACATTTGGGGCTTAATCCCTCGGGGAAAAAAGCTGCAGATTATTTGTAGATGGGCTCGCTAAAACCTGTGTATTCAAAAGGTTGTAAGCAGATTCCTCCCCGAAACTTGTATCCATTTTTTTTTCCTCGCCCCTCCTCCAAACTCCTCTGTGCAATCATACGGCTGTAGAGTGCAAAACAAATCAGCACAGAACAAAGATTACGAGGCCCAGAATTCCTCGAATTCACACACTTTACTAAATTCCTCATCTGTGTTTTTTTTCTTTAAGCTCTCTTTGTTGCTCTTCACCGGCACCGCCTCGCATTGTTCGGACGGACAGCTCGCTCTGCGTTTGTTTGCTCTCCCGTGTTGGTTTGACCCGTGTCCCCCACCGCTCCTACAAAGGACCCTCCTACATGCTGTTGATCTGCCCCTTAATTAATCACAGCCTCGTGATTTACTGTCACGTCCCTTAAGGATGTCGGCGACACAAATGGAATCCTTTTTTTTTTTTTTTTTTTTTTTTTTTTTTTTGTGCGACAGTCCAGTGATGTACAGGAACATGTGGGTGAACGTCCACTGTCTGTAAAGTCCATCATCGGTGTATAACATGACCTTTTTTCTTCTTCTTCTCTGCTATCTTTTTAAACTGTGGCATATGAGAGACTTCTTCCTTGTCTTTTATCCACAATGCATTTTTTTTTTTTCATTTTTCATGAACAAAAATAAGCAGAGCAGAGATTTATAGAGCAACATTATTTTTTTACAACCACACTTATCATCCCGTTCCCTCGGCGTTACAGTACGGTATATCAACGTATCAAGAGTGCCGAGGGGGGAAATGTGAAAAACGCAACGAGTGCAACATAATTTATGTAGCAATTACGGATTCACTCCCTCGTCCCCTGCGAGGTGGCGGCACCGGGGTCGAGTGTGGGCTGTCGGGGGGATGGGGGGGGGGGGGGGTTGGTGGTGATGGAAGTTGGGGGAGAGTGTCACCGGCATCCCAGGCTCCCGTTTCAGAGAGGGCAGGTTGGCCAACCGGTTGCAGGGGGGGCAGAGACGTCAGCATGGCAGTCGATTCGGCGTCGAGCCCCTCGTTGCTCTGAGAGGGAGAGGAAGCACTGGTTGTCACCGGCATCCCTTTACAGGACGGTGACGCAGGACGCGTCGAGCTGAGGGCAGAGGTCGGGACAGAGAGGCGAGGCCGAGGTAGGCCGAACCTCCGTCAGGATTTTCACTGTTTTCTACTAACGATTCCAAAATCTGTTGGTTTAACCAGCGAGGTATGTGTCTGCATCTGCATCTTTCTTTGTAGTTGCTGCATGTGACACTATGTATTGTAATGGAATAAGGAATGTCGAAAATACCTTGTTTTTATAGTTTGACCGTGTATTTTTTTGTCAGCCTTTAGAGGAACGTGACATTTAAAGCGGCTGTGTTAGCAGTATTTAAAAACTAATGCTGTGTACAAAATACCTCACTCACTGTCTGTTAGATAAATGGATACATTGTGGTCACATGGTGTCCGTACAGACAGCTGGACAGGACAAATGAGATTGTTTTTGATTGATAATTCGGTCTCTTGCAGTCTGTTTCTGTTCGAACCCTCTTACAGCTCACAAATATTGCTCAAAGTGTCCTCTTGACCTCATGAGATCAATCTTTTGTCGCCGAGTGTGTCATTGTGATGAAGTTGCTTTAAAGTCCCTTTGTTGATACCGTTTTGTCAACCTCCCAAAAGTAATATTGCAGTCAGAAAGTTGTTTGAGCAGCAACAGAATTTCAAAGAGAAGATGGGTCTCTTTCACATACAGAACCATTTCCACGACGGCTGTCTGCCAGAGCCTGAATAACTGCGCCGATAAAAAGCTATATACGTGAGTCATAAAAGAAGTGTGCTCAGAGCTGGATAATGCTGCAAGGAGAGCTCATTGAAAACTAGTCGCACTCGAGCCACAATGGTGTAAGCACTCTGTTGTTCATTGTGGAGGAGGCTGATCTGTGTCTGGCTGTTATTTTCATTGAGAATCTCGCTGCAAAGCCAGTGTAGCAGTACCTATAAACCTGCACGTGTGCACTGTAACAGTACAGTATACTCTCTGCACACCAATGTCACCCGGCCTGTGTGTAGTGGGAGAGAGACGGAGATGCATTTCACAAATGTAGAGTCTGGTTTTACCCCCCCGAACACTTCTGTCACACTTGTTTGTGGTTGTGCTGATAACTGCATTTAGAGCTGCGACAAAAAGAAAAAAAAATAAAAGAACGCCGCTGGCATTTATGAGGTTAATGAAGGTCAGCGCCGACAGGAAGCGGCGCAGCGCTCCTCCACGTGCGCGCGCATGGCTTTGTGCATTTACAGGCGCTCCCTGATTAAGGCTAGCGGTGGAGGAGTTGGCGGTTTAGGACACGGCGTCCTCTAACTGACTGGACGTTTAGCTGAGGGAGAGAAGAAGAAAAAGGTTATTACTACTGACTGTGCTCTCTTGAGGACAGCTGATAAAATGACCGTGGAAAAAAAAAAAAAAAAAAAAAAGGAATAGCACAACTTTATCACATTAGCATAATTAGT